TCACCCGCGTATGCGGCGCGGATCAACTCCGTCACTGACGACGTCACCGTCGTGACATTAGCAAGCTCATCCGGTCTGTGTGACAACGCTTCAGCCAAACCATTCTGCTTTTCTGGCTTATACTTCACCTCGGAGTTATATTCTACAAAGAAGGAGAGTCACCTGGCCATCCTCTGCGAGAGGTGAGGCAACAGAGTCGCAGTGCGTAGTGATGCGTGATCTGTGTCGATCACAAACGGCTTGGAGCCAAGCAGGTGCACCCTGAACTTGACAAGTGCATGCTTCACGGACTAAGTAGTTCTTCTTCGCAGCCATTTGCCGGCGAAATTCGAACGCGATCACCCGATCCCGCCCCTCGCCGTCTGCTTGCAGCAGCACACAGCCGATGGCAAAGTCCAAAGCGTCACAGACAACATTAAAAGGACGATCGTTATCTGGCAACTCCAGTCATTATTCACGAAAGAGGATGTCTTTGACCATGTCAACAGAAACCCGATGCTCGGTGTCCCAACAATATCACGTATTCTTCCTAACAAGATTCGACAAAGACACTGTCATTTCCGCATGATCCGAGCCATATTGTGCAAGTATTTGGCGAGGGCAAGCCACTTGCGCAAGTCCTTTTGATTCTTTGGAGCCAGCCAGTCCACAATGGCCTTGACCTTAGCGGGATCTGCTCGAAGTCCACGCTTCCTAATGAAGCACCCTATAAAAGAGAATTTCTTCAGCGCCGACAGTGCACTTGTCTGGATTCGCATACAGCTTGTTCGTGTGTATGCACTCAAGCACCGCTCTCAAATGGACGATGTGGTTCTCTGCATCCGTCATCCCGTGTTTCGCACAATTGTGGACGAAGATGCTGTCGAAGTATGTCTGGGCATACGCCCCGTGGTGCCCGAACAACTGCGTCACAAGGCGATTAATGTTGCTGGTGCATTTGACAGCCCTTAGAGCATCACCAGCCACTCCCATAGCATGCTGCTCGGAGTACTAACCGCTGTCAGCGAAATATCACTCGCTCTCCTGAGCAATGGGTAACACCCATCGACCAAGTCGAGTGCACTGTACACTGTACATCCAACCATGTTGTTCTGGAGATCATCCTTCCTAGGAGTTGGCATCTGTGCT